CCCGCAGCTCAGCCGTGCCTGGGAGGCCGCTCCCATTCCACTCCACGATGGCCCCGTCTGTCCCTCGGTCCCTGTCCCTGGCGTATGCGTGTCGTTCCCCATTTGCTCTCCCAGCATGTACAGGCGCTCCCCTTTCCCGTACCTCTCCTCTTGCTTCCTCTGGACACACTTAACCTCGCTCCATCTCTCCCACCTCTCCGGAATGTATTTTCACACGCAACTCCATGAGGCCAGAACACCGTAGCTGGGCCTGACCCTTTTATGGGTTCTAATAGGCCTGCACATTGAGGAAAAAAATACTGTTGGATGCGCTTGAGTTGCTGTAGTGGTCGCTCTGCTTTATGCAGTTAAAGCACTTATCTGCTGAGCAGGGAGCCTTGTTTACAGATGAGGGGAACTTTGCTCCTCAATCATAGCTTGATTTGGCTGTGGGGTTGTGTTACAACACCTTACTATTCAGTGTTTCTGACGGCTGATATGGCTGCCTGGCCGTATGACCTGAGCCAGGGTGAGACACGCTCACGTTTCCATCTGACAAATCCTTAAAAATGCTGTTGTGGTTTAACTGTAGTGGGCAGCTGAGCACCACATGGCCGCTCACTTGCCCCCCTCCCCCCAGCAGGATGGGGGGGAGAATTGGAGGGGTAAAAGTGAGAGAAAACTCATGGATTGAGATAAAGACAGTTTAATAATTTTTAAAAATGGAAGGGCAAACAGAGAGGAGGAAAAAGAAAAAAATACACCCAAGAAAAGGAAGTGATGTGAAAGAAAACAATTGCTCACTGTCAACCGACTGATGCCAAGCCTGTCCCCAAGTAATGGCAGCCCCACCAACTTCCACCCCTGCCGGTTTTATTGCTAAGCATGATGCCATACGGTATGGAATTGCCCTCGGGTCAGCTGGAGTCCGCTGTCCCAGCTGTGTCCCCTCCCAACTTGTTGTACACCCCCAGCGTGCTCACTGGGCGGGGCAGTGTGGGGAGCAGAAAAGGCCTTGACTCCATGTAAGCCCTGCTCAGCAACAACTAACACATCCCTGTGTTAGCGACGCTGTTCTCAGTACAAATCCAAAACATAGCCCCATGCAAGCTACTGTGAAGAAATTCAACTCTATCCCATCCAAAACCAGTACAAATGCACATCAGCAAATAATACAAGAGATGTCATGCTGCTGTCTCCAATAGGCCATTGAGGATGAAGGAGGAGATCCTGATGAAATTCCTGTGGCCTCAGAACTGACCAACAAGAGAACACCAAAAAGAACTAGCAAAGGTACGGAGTCTAGACAAATACAGTTCCTTTGTTTTTGTGTAGCTAGAACAGCATTCGATGTTGATTTCTTCTGTTTTGTTAGTTTAATTAAAAAAAAAAAAAGTGCTTTTTCTTTTTCCCTTATGGAAAATGGTAAACTCGATAACGAGTTTAAACAGTAATATGACACAGAACAGTACTTCTGTTAGCAAGTCTTCAAAGCTGTAGATGAGACCGTAAGTTGCAGGTGTTTCTGTACTTGTGACCGTGAGTGCAGAATTGTGTCAGGTATGGAGCAAGCAGCTGTAGCGTCGGCTCCCGTGGAAAGCTCTGCCAATGTACGTTAAGGTGGCTCCACAGCACCCCAGATATTAATTTCCTTGCCGTAACTATATACATTTTCCTTTTTTCGTACAAGCCCTTGAACCTCCCTCATCATTGGGATACATTTTTAGATGCGAGAAATGACAGTGGGAATAATTAGAACCATTGTTGCGCAAATAACAAACGTGTATAACTTTTGTTAGTGTCATGTTTCATTTTATAACTGTCTTGTTTTGAAAATATACTGTTCTGAAATAGCTCATTAGTGATTTCAGTATATTTTGCTTTAAAAACATTAAATACTGTGTGGGCCACGTTACATGGGGTTTATTTGAATTGCTCATAGCAAGTTCTTGAAAGATGCTTTCTGAAACTTACTTTTAAGCTGCTTCTTTTAAGATAATAGGGTAAAAATAGAGAAAGAGCAGTTGGTTTTGAATAGCGATACAAGTTTGCTGGTGACACATGTGCCTAAGTGTGATCTGTGTGTCTAAGATCTTAGAAATGAAGACTAATTCTAAATCGGTAATAATTAATATTTAAATGGTAAGAGGAAGGAGTTTTGTAACAGTGATAGAGTGTTTCTTTTAAATGGAACACCTTCCTGGCCAGTGTTGTCTTTTTAGGTATTGAAGTGTTGTGCAATGGGAGGAGTGTAGCTGTTGAAAAATGTAGCTGTGCTACTTCTAGTTCATGTTCGTGCTCTTTGTTTGTATCGAGTGGCAAGTCGTTCTCCATTATATCTAGGCAGACCTGGACTTCTGAATCAGGGTCTTAATGATTATTTGTTGAAACAAACTCAGTGTTGAATAGATAATTCAGCAAAGAGTAGATGTGTTATGAAATTTAGTGCTGTATCTCACTTCAGTGATAACTATTTTTAGGAAGAAAACCAGAAGAGGAAGGCGTGGAAGACAATGGACTGGAAGAAAACTCCAGAGATGGGCAGGTAAGTGAAATCATGATTGACGTTACTAAGAATATGCATCATTTAACCCACAATAAATACACATCTACCCTTTTTCTTTCTGTAGGAGGATATCGAAGCAAGTCTGGATACCTTGCAAGACATTGACATGATGGATATTAGTGTGTTAGATGAAGCTGAAATAGATAACGGCAGCGCTGTAGACTGTGGAGAAGACTATAGTCCTGATAATATTCTCGATTCTCTGTCTGATAATAAAGACAATGTTGAAGCAGAAATGAAAGAACTTCCAGATCAGCTAACAGAAAATGAGGTGAGTAGAGGTCTTTGTAAATTTTCAGAAGGTATTTAATAAGTATATGGGCACATGAACAAGTTATTTCAGTGTAATAGAATATAGGACGTGAATGTGATATAGATTCACGTTAACAGCTCTCGTGTCGTACTCTTTAAGTGGTAAATATTCTTGGATCTATCAGAGGCTTGAAATGTTCACAGTAGATGGGTCACAGCCTTCTTTACCTTGTAGTAACACCTTTGATTGCCATGAAAGAAGCCTGGAATTGAAAGTAATGTATTAGTTTCGGTGTTCCCTCTTCCCATTTATGTATGTTTAAGCGTATATACGCATATACCGAGCCATCTAGGTATTTTTATATATGGAGAGAGAGGAATACATTTTCAACTCACAGATAATTTGGAAATCTTTTCTGCAGAAATAATGCTCTTGTTTAAAGAATTTGTGTCGTACAGTTTTCTCATATAGATTAATAAAACAAAATCTTCATGCATTGGGTATTTCCCTGTTCTGACATTGCCAGGCTTTTGACTTAGTTTTGAGAGCAACTTGCAAGGTCTTTTACAGACAGCACAGTCTCCTGCTACTGAACAAACAGGGTAATCTATATGTTACGCTCACTCCCCAAATAGCATCCTTCCTTGGATCCTTGTGGGTTTTTTTATTTTAGGCTGATCACTCCCAAAGCTGAACGTATTACCCTTTCTTGCCTCCTTATGTAGTTTTTTGTGGGTTGGGTTTGGTTTTGGTTTTTTTTTTTAATTTTAGGCCTGTGGTGTCTGTCTCAACTTTTTATCATTTATCATTCTGAAAACAGAGTCATTGCAACAACATCCAGTGAACCAGAAAGGCAATTTTCTGGTGTTCTGTAAATTAGAGCTGTTGAGAGTCATGTAACCAATAGCTTTGGTAGAGTCTTACCATCAGCTCTTAAGGAAGGAAGATTTTGGGGACGTGTTTTGTTTTTGAAAAAGTAGAAACCCAGGACAGCTTCATTTCTAACTTCTTTTTTTCAGTTAGAAACTAAAGAAGTAAAAAAGTGGGAATATGGAAAAACATGTTAGGTACAGTAACCACAGAAATGTGAAATGAATTTCCTCTCTAAATAGGAGTAACTTCAAAGTAGACAATGTCATGTTGAAATTAAAATGAAAGGTAACTGGAGGAAAATATTTGATCATTAAGGATATTTATATGTTGCCCCTTGTTCTTGGGTCATAATCTGAAGTAGCATTTGAGATCTGTCAAATACTGGAAAATACTTCTCATGAGGGAAAATTGAATGCAGTAGTATTTCTCTGCAAGTTAATGTTACTTTTGTAAGAAATGTTATAATTCCTTTTTTATTCTTTTAGGAAGATTATGATGAAATTGAAAACAATTTAGATGCCTCTTCTTCTGATTTAATTGAAATGAAGGTAAATTGAAAATGTAGCTGTATTTCAGATGGTTATTATCAGTACTGTGTTATCAGTTATGTTATTAGTTATTATCAGTAGTGTGTATTCATTCTGTGCTCATACTACAAAAAAGAAAACATGACCGTAATATGAAATTGTAACAGAATCCAAGACATACATGATCTTGCCCAGAATACAGTCTGTCAAGTGAAAATGTCCTGTGTTTTTTGCCCTACTTTTCCGTCAGCTATCAAGACTTCCTCCACTTTTGTGGCAAATAAAAATGGTCTTGTACTGTTGATTTCTTCTTTCTTCTGCTGATTATATCAAGTAGTAGCTGGGGGGGGGGGGGGGGGTGTTCACTCTGCAGTCAAAGATACTTTATTGTTCTCTTTAACATTCCAAATTAGATATGAGAACACAACTGTGGCTGACATTTTTATTTGGCTTTAATGTGCCAGAAAAATTGCATATATAAAATACTCCGTTCCAATGGATGGTGAAAAAAAGTGTTAAATGTAGTAGGTGAAATTTTGTAGTTTTCAATCTTGGGATTGGGCGGGGGGTGGCTATTACTCTGTGTTAAAAATATGTTTTATAAAGTCCTCATTCTGTGTTTATTTTCCCAAACAGAAAATGGAGAAGCTACACTTGGAGCCAGGTACTGTTAAAGAAAAACATATTCCTCTCTTTTCAACTAATACTTTTTAAACCATTAACTATTAAAAAACCAAGCAAACAATCATAATTTGCATTATTTTTATGATGGACAATCCAGATCGTGCAGGGTCATAGAGATTGGAAACCCAATCATATCCCCAGATCTGTGAAGTGATGCTTGAAATATTTCCAGTGAAATGAAATGGTTTAAAAACCTGTTAAACTACATAAATGGATTTAGAGAAGTTAATCACAGTTTAAAAGCTAAAGATTCTACTTGTAAACAGATCTTGTGATATCGCACACACCTTAACTCTGTTACTAAATAGAGAGCAGTGAAAGCAGTAAAAAGATATTGTAGGGCATTAAAATGTAAAGATTAGTTACTGGATACAGAAGAAAGAAGAGAGTTTCTTCATGGAAATTTCATACAGATACTTTTCACTTTCTGGACTGCAAACACACTCATGCACCATCAGAAGATGCCCAGTTCTCATGTTGGACTGTCTGCTAAAAGAATTTCACAGAAATTTAAAAATTGAACCCTCAGTGCGTTGATACGTTCAGTTAAGCATCTCGGACTCTGGAAGCTAACTAGAGAAGAAACAGAGCTGAATGATTTCATGAAGAATATCAAGGATCAGCCAGAAGGTTGTTGTTAAATCTGTGGGGGCATTTTTCTTCCCTGTTAACGTGTTAGGGCTGATTTGGTAGTTTGTCAGACAGCAGTTAGCGTAGTACTTTTAACACTGTGTACACTAGGGTTTTCCAATCTCTGTGTAGCTTAGAAGTTCTCTTGGTGTAAGTTTGGCAGCCATGCCAGTTCCACATTTGTGATTGCTGTATTTCCCTGGTGATTAAATCTTGTGCCATTCTATTCCTGTTAAATCCGTAGAAAATGAGA